AACACCGAATTTGCCCTTCTTTACGTGGCAACTGTAGTAGACTACGCAAGGCTCCACGCTTACCTTGCCTTAGCCAAGATAGTTTACTGATAATTTCGAACACTTAATGTAATTATGGGGAAATAAATCCAGCTTTTTTTGTTTTGAACTTGCGTTTAGCAGAACCCGTATTTAGTTGCAATTGGGAGAAAACCAAACTTTTTTTCAGATGGAAAATTTTGTATAGTGGTTCAAAGAAGTCATATATCAAAATTTTTGAAATAATTACTCGAACTGAGAATATTAGTTTTTACATTTTTTTCTCTGCAGGAAACATCTGCAGTTTGCAGTAGTCATCTTCTTATGCTTTAATTTCTTTAATAGTTCATTTTGCGTACAAGCAAACGAAAGTTAAAAGCTATAAGAGAGAAATAATCTTTACCGGCCAATCGCTGTTAAATTTCTTGTATATTAGCTGAGTTATTAACTGCTTAACAGGCTAACCTAATATTCGCGGCTTGCGTTTTGGTACGCATGCCGTCGAATTTGTTTTTTTGCGTCACCCGAAATTGACTTGCATGCGTTTGCATTTGATTTCATTGAGCGAAACGTCAAATCAAAATGTCACGCAGAACAAAAATTGGAAATTGAGTTAGCTTCATACGCACGCCGTTCAATTTCGGTTGATCTCATACAAGTTGCATGTGCATGAGAAATTTTTGACAATAAATTGGCGGCGTGCGTGAATATTAGGTTAGCCTGTAACGATTTTGGTGGGAATGGGATATAACCGATGAACAACGAAATTGGCGTTGACTTGAAGCCGCCGAGTCGAGAAAAATTTGTTTTTGTAGAATTTAGATTAAACGGCTCAATCTGAGTAAACAAGATACATAAATATTTCTTTGAAATTGATCTTAGAGTTTCACGCCAGATTTATGTAAGTGAGGAAAGTTAGTATTTAATACTCATCGAGTCAAATACTTTGTTACATAATGTTATAGGTACGTCAATATGTTCAGATTTATACACATATTCATAATTTGGGATATTGTATCGAATAAACATTTTAAATTGATTAAAATGCGATAAATCATAATCGCCGCCTGTCGACCAACTGTTGTTATTAAGCGCTGCTTGTTGTATGCAAAACAAAAACAGAAATAACAACACAAATTCATTCTCATCCCAATGCAACTTTTATTAGTTAATATTTTGTAGTTGTATGTATAGCGATGATATGTAAATACATACATATGGCCTCACTTGGTGTTGCTTGTTTTCGATGACACTAAAGCCAGCATTGGTTTCACGTGGTCGCCACCTCTCTCCTTTCGATAAAGCCATACATAAATTTATGAGCCACCAACATAATAAAGTGTTAAAAGAACGCGTTATTAATGTAAGTGATGCACTAAAGGTGCACATAGTGATCGTAAACTGTGTTCCAGCCCATATTGGCAGTTTGGCACTCATATATTTGGGAATTTCCGCCCACATTCATACATATGTACATTGTACACGCTTGTGTATGTTTTTTCATGTATCCAGCCCGACTAGAGTGTGGGGGGTCGGGGGTGTTTGCCCCCGGGTCCGAGTTTTCAAAGCAGCCCGGATTTTCCTAAAATTTAGTTGGAGGATAACAATTATAATATTTTGTTAAGTTGATAAATTTGAATTTTAAATCAAATAGTTACTATATTCTAATAAATGCGAAAGCGCATATTTAGGTACACATCAGGGAACTGCAATTATTCGTGTTTTTAAGTAATTGGTTGAATAATACGATGTTTCCATGATTCTTAATTCGCTCTCTAAGTAATTCGCTAAGTAATTCGTTAATTACCCTGTTTCCACGACACATTCGTAATTCGTTTGGCAGCTCTACTTCTTGTTCTTGTTGTTCGCATTTATTATTATTTTTGTGTATTGCAAATATCGAAGATGGAGAAAAAATGTAAGTTATCAACAAATATTTTAGTTTATTTAGGCAGTATTTAATTAGCTACTTTTCCAGCATCTAGAAAAAGTGCCAGCAAATGGGACCAGGCCAGTGAAAGTGCGGTGATAGAGCTATGGGGAGAGAAAATGCAGGAGTTGCGTGGCTGTACGAAAAACGGCCACATCCTTCTGGAAATGGTATAGGAATTGGAGAAGCACGGGTATAAGTACACGGTGAAGGAACTGAAGACGAAAATGCATAACTTGAGTGCACGGTACCGGTAAGAAGTTATTATTTGCACAAAATAAGGTTAGGTTAAGGTTAAGGTTTAGTTATTTATACAATGCTTTGCGTTGTTGTTTCCAAACGCCTAACCCGAATCCGAAAACTTTAACACACACTTATGGTAAAAGGATTGAACTTTAATTAACATTTTTATACCTTTCATGAGCATGAAATGGTATTATAACTTTGGTCCGATGTTTGTAAGTACCAGAACAAAAAGAGATAGACCCATTAAAATGTATACTTATATGATCAGAACGTCGAGCTGAGTTGATTTAGCCATGTCCGTCTGTCCGTCTGTCCGTCTGTCTGTATGCAATCTAGTCTCTCAGTTTTCGAGATATCCGGATCAAATTTGGTAGGTGGGTGTATTTTTATAATGGTTTAATCATTTGTCGGAACCGGAAGAATCGGACCACTATAACATATAGCTCCCATACAACTGATTGTTCAGATATGAGATTTTTCGTTATAACTTCTGCATTTATGCAGCTACGAACATGAAATTTTGCAGTACTTGCACCCATTATCAACAGAATACTTACAGTGAAAATTACAAAGATCGGGTCACTATAATCAATAGCTCCCATACAACTGATTGTTCAGATATAAAATTTTTCGTTATAACTCCTCCATTTATATAGCTAGGAACATGAAATTTCGCACTGTTTTCAATAATTATTAACAGAAAACTTACGGTGAAAATTAAAAAGATCGGGTAACTATAACCTATAGCTCCCATACAACTGATTGTTCAGATATGAGATTTTTCGTTATAATTCATCCATTTATGTAGCTAGGACCATGAAATTTCGCGCTGTTTTCACTCATTATCAACAGAAGACTTACAGTGAAAATAACAAAGATCGGGTCACTATAACCTGTAGCCCCCATACAACTGATTGTTCAGATATGAGGTCTTTTATCATAACTCCTCCATTTATGCAGCTAGGAACATGAAATTTCGCACCATTTTTGCTCATTATCAACGGAATACTTACAGTGAAAATAACAAGGATCGGGTGACTATAACATATATGTATCTTCCATACATCTGATTGTTCAGATATGGGATTTTACTGTAAAACTCCTTTATTTGAACAGCTAAAACCGATAAATTTCGTAAGATATTTTATAAATAATAATACAAAGTCTACTGAGAAAATCGTCAAAATCTATTCTGTATAAGCTTTATCTCCTATACCACTGATTGTTCAGATACCAGTTTTTGCGATATATCTTCTTTATGTAGGAAACTAAACCCAATAAATTGTGTTACCGGTTTACATACCGATCACATAGCAGTGAAAATCACTTAGATTGGTGCCATATAGAGTATATCTTCCATACCTCTGATTGTTTACATGCGATTTTTTATATAAGTATGTAACTCCTCTATCGATGTATGCAGATGTATTCAAAAGCAGTAATCTGTCAAAGTAAAATTTGCAGATGTTCATGAAAGGTATGAAGCCTTCGGCATAGCCGAAGACAGCGCTGCTCTTACTTGTTATTAATAAATTCGGTTTGAAATATAGACTTTTTTAAAATATCGGTGTGGGTTGTGCGCAAAAATACTGTGGAAGGCGTAGCCGGAGTTGGACTGATTAATTTATTTTTTCTAAACGCAGCCTCAGGCCGCCGATGTGGAAAGGTATCTCAAAGTTTGGGCTGTGCTCTTTCTAATGGGTGGGGTTTTAGGTGCCAAATAACCTCGACCTCCGCTCCACGCCACAAAATCATTGCACAAATAACTAAGCATTTTCTCTAAACTAATACTAACACACATCTCGTCATTTGAAATGCAAAGCTCCAGGTTATGGTGTACTTTTTATAGCACTGTTTATTGCAACCCCTTTTATTCACCAAACAACGTTATAATGTAACATCGCTTTAAACAACTGTCTTTAATAATTTCCACACATTATTTTCCACAGAAAGGAGAAACAAGAGATTGGACCCTCGGGTGGCTCACACTCGGCTTGGGATCTTTATGCAGACATGCACGCCTTATTGGCGCCTTATAAGAGTTTCAACCCGGATGGTCTAGTATTCGTCAGTATAAATCGTAAGTATATGAATTGTTTAATTAACGATTTGCTAAAAATATTCCATTTCCTCGTGGAGCCCAAATTAGCCCGGTCAAGTCACGGTATTCAAGGTTGCAATAATTTGCATAAAGCTGAAAATCGGTATGTGGTTTCCGCGGTATATCTTGCCACATTTATAGTAATCAAAGAATACATCAGAGGATTTAATGTTGTGCGTGGGAAATATTCGGTTATTTGTACAATGATGTTTTGGTGGGGAGTGGAGGGAGAAGGGGTGTGTCACCTAAAACTACACTCATTAAAAAGAGCATAGTATAAAATTTAAGAAAAGCCATCCTTCTTCTCCCTGCCTCTTCCACAGGCACTCGAGGGGCCATTGCAAAATGGGGTGAAATTAGCATTTTCGCAAAGAAAAATTAAACTCGTTTTAGGCCATCAGCAGTATTTTTTGCACAAAACTCCTTTCCGCGTTGATGGCCTTCGGTCGCGCTAGAAAAAATAACCTCATCACCCCGGTTACGCCATCCACAGTATTTTTGCGCGAAATCCACCTCCAAATTTCAGTGCATATTTCAAACCGAAATCTTTGTTTTAAATTAAAGCTTAATCCTTTGGCAAGAACTTTTTTATGGGCTTTCTGAGGAACGCATGTACCGCATAAAAAAAGACCTAAGTGTACATAGTTTCGTGCTTATATTTATGTATATTTATTTTCAACTGAGATAGGGAATTTTTGACCCGAATTCTAAGAAAGGGCGTTCTTCAATAAAATTCTGAATAATACAAATATTTTTTTTTTAAAGACATGAATTCGAACATTGTATCGCAACCATCATCAATCACGACTTCATCGCTGCCATCACCGTCAATGTCTATAGCTTCACCGCTGCCGTCACCGTATACACCTGTCACTTCACCGCTGCCATCACCGTCTATGCCTACGGCATCACCAATGACACCACAATCGTTCGTCGCTACTCCAGGAATTACAGAAGAATTGTCATCACCGGCACCGCCGTCGTCCGCTGCAGTAAGAAAGAAAGAGGGATTAGGTATTTATTTTAAAAGATTTGAAAAAACAATTGAGGTAATCCAAGACGACATTAAAAGTACTTCGGAAAGGTTTATATCCATTGAGGAAGAAAAAAAAGAAATTTTGAAATCATATGTAGAAAAAGAAGCCGAAGTGCAAAATGCACTAATAGATTTTTTAAAAAGACAGTAAGTCCTTTAAGAAAACCGTCTAATTAAGGACATGTATTTACGGTGGCTCAAAGCCAAATACTACATCCCAAAACATTTACAATACAGTTATATGAAAAATTATAGGGACCCGACATTATGACCACTTTTGACTCAATCAAAAGAAAAATAGTCAAAAGTGATGAAAATGTCGTGTCCCTATTATTTTTCATATAACTATATTTTGTATTTGATCTCAATGAATTATTTACTAGATAGTTTATGGAATATTTTTTTTTTTGTTTATGTGCACATTTGTCTGCCAAAAAATATTAAAGGTGTGATCTCAATGAATTAATTGCTATGTAATTTAAGGAATACTACTTTTGGTTTTTTTAAATGTATATGAATTTTTTTTATAAATAAAAGTTTTGATAATAAAACTTACACAAAAAAGTAGCAATTGCGTTCCTTATTCCTTCTGGGTTATTGCTTAGCTCCGTTAGTGACGCAATGTGCTGAGGGTATGTGCGGTTTGCTTCTGCAGTTTGTAAAGCTTGCATCCAATTTTCATTTATCGCGTCATTATTTTCATTTAGGAAATTGTGAAGAACGCAACACGACCAAATTATAGCGCTAGCATTTTTAAATGAATTGTCAATGCCATTTCCAATGCGCCTGGAGCGTGCTTTGAGGTGCCCAAATGCATTTTCCACTACTCTACGGGACTTGAATAGTGCATAGTTGAAGTGCTTTTGTTGGCGGCTTTGCGAAACGTAGAAAGGATATGGCTTCATAAGTTTGTCACTTAAACGAAATGCGGAGTCACCAATAATAAAAACTGGCGCATCCACACCTGAAATATTTTTCTTTAAGTCGCTCAGAAGATTACATTGATTCAAGTATTGGTTTAAAAAAGAGGATTGGAAAATTCGCGAATCGTTGCGACGTCCTGGGTTACCGGAGCTCACGTAAATAAAACGACATCTGGAAATAACTATGAAATTTAAAACTTAACCATTAACATCCAGGGTTGGCACTTAACGAAACCGACTGCGTAACAAAAGACCAGAAAAATCGTGTTAAAAAATAAAAATTCGTAGCAAAAGATAAAAATTTGTTATTATTTTAAATGCATATGCATATTTAATGTTTTTACTACGATCGTAGCAAAGTGCCAACGCTGTTACCATCTTAAAGTGCCACTACCTGGCGTCCACTAATGCTAACAGCACGGTTGAATACCATCCCTTGTAATTGAAATAGTCTGTAGCATCTTCCTTAGGTGGGTGGATTTCAATGTGACAACCATCTGTAAAAATGAAGCGCAATGTTTTTACAGGCAATATAATGATAGCAGCAGTTTAAGAATAGTTGGCTATGTAGGCTACTAACATAACATAATAAAAACATTGGGGAAATCCAAGTGCTTCGAACTCTTGCACTAAACCTTCAATTTTTTGCGTAGTCAATGGGAAGTTATTTAAATATATTGGCGCCATAACTCTCCAAACTTCAGAACAAAAGTTCCACAAGATTTTACAAACGATTGCTTTCCCCATGCCGAACATGTTTGCAATTGTTCTATACTCTGCTGATGACCCAATCGCATATAGGGCTATGGCAATCCGTTTCTCCAAAGGTATGGCTTCACGCATGTTTGTATCCTTTTTTCGTAGGTCTGGTAGAAGCTCACATAATTTATAGAAGAGACTTCGACTCATCCTAAAGTTGTTCTTAAAAAGCGTTTAATCTCCCCTCTGACAGTCTATCTCAAAGAAAGATTGCGTTCGCTCCTAAAAAATTCAATATGTACATACACACATCCATATGCAGACTCATAAAAACTTTCGGAATTACAGTGAACCAAATATAAGCTAGGACCTATGGAAGTTTGCGGAATGAACTAAGAAACATGGAATCTTTTAACAACATCACAATCGCAAATAACAATCTCAAAACTTTGGAGGGTTATTTACATAGCGCTTGGCGTTGTGGTTGTTGTAACAGCATACAAATTCTCCAAAGAGTTTTTAAGGAGTGTTGCTGGGGTGACAGTCCTTGGGAGGATATAAATCTGGGTCGCACAGTGCTGTATGAGCGGGCAAAAATCAAAAAAATTGTTGTCACGTATGTCAACGTGTTTGGTATCGTTGGAAAGGAAATTTATCCTAGATTAAGGATCTTAGTTTTTGTTTTTATATCATAAGGTTCTCACAAAAACCTCTTAAAGTTGTGTGTTTTTTATATATTTTTTCTTTTATGAAAATGCCTTTAGCTGGAGTCTTTAAAAAAAAAATTGCTAAAAATACAATTTATCATACTTTATCTTAAGACACAATTTTTCTAATTAGAAAATCTGTAAGGAAACCACTCTATAGAGCTTTTTAAAAAATATTGAGTTTCCTGGCTGGAATGGCCTATTTGCTACACCCTAAAATTTGTTGCAGAAAATTTAAAAAATTCCTAAGTTTACAAAGGGATAAAAAAAAAAATATGTAAAAGTATGTTTTTTTTTATTCTTTTATTTGAAAGAAGGGGCATTTTTCTTTGAAATAAAAAAAAAGTCTGCAGACTCATTGCGCTTTTCGAAGAAAATCGTTTTTTTTAAGGTTATAAAATAAACTTTTGCAAAAAAAAAATTTCACTGATTACAGTTACCACAGTATTTTCCATTACTTAAATGCCAAAACATTCTTTAAAAATAGTAAAATTTATTACTGTAGACACACGCGGTATTGTTCTGTGCTGTGTAGTGAAGCGTAAAATAGTGAAAAAACTAATATTAATATGAATTCAATTATAAAAAACTCAATTTTAGCTGATATCTGGATTTCTACTCGTCCATCAGATAGAGTTTCTGCATTATCTGCATTTTTTGAAGACAAATTAATACACGCTAAATGTGACAAAGCACTTTTGAATCAAAAATAAAACTTTTTAATAGTGAGATGAAAAATAAGTGGAATTATAGTGACCGCAAAAGAAGCGCTTTTGAAAAAACATATTCTAAATGGCTAAATTGGACATTCCTTTCCCTTCCGGATTCCAATGGAAATAAGGATAAATGTGCTGAACGGGGAAGACCTTCTAAAGAAGAATTTTGCGAAGCTTCACTGAGAACAAAAAATCGAAGGGTAAAGCATTTGTTGAAAAACTATTCCATCGAAGAGCTCGATAGAAGAGCTAGTATAGATTACACTTATAGAAGAGCTAGTATAGATTACACTTTTTCTGACTAGTATGATTTCAACCCGAAATTCATGAATGAATTCATGTATGAATACTCCACAAAATTCATGTATGAATACACCACAATTCATGTATGAATACACCACAAAATATATAGTCAATGAACTAGTGTGTTTGCTGAGTAGTTTGGAATTTGACTGCATGATGACTTTAATTTTTCAATAAACGGCGTTAGATAAAACAAATAATTTTTGATTCAGTATTTTGCAACAACTCTTGTTCGTGCGAAGTAACTAATAAAAAGGAAAACAAAATTATATTTGTCTTTTGAGTATTTAATGTCGTCTTAAATGAATCAAATTTTTTAAGCGTGTGACATCCACACCAAAAGATATAATCAATTTAAAAAAACATTTTGTAGTCAAAAAGGACCAAAATGAAAGTAGCTGCCATTCCTAGAGGGTTTGCGTAAGAGAGATATAGGGAATCTTATTTGCCATGAATTAAGCCATAGAATGAAGCCTTGAAGTCTTTAATATTATTAGGAAAACGCCCTGTATAAATAATAAAATAACTACTGAGTATTGGAACTACTTCTGAATATCAAATTTTGCAGTTTCAATCTCAGTTTCCATGAAAAATGTAAGAGCTAGGTAAAAAAAAAATTGATTTTTGAAATCTCCGTACTCTAATCCACCAAAAAACGAATTTTTACTCAAATCCGTCCATTATTCTATTTTTGCCCACTTTTTATATGGAGACACAGCACTGTGGGTCGTTCCGGTTGCATATACCGGCGTCCTTTTGTTCGGATTGGGTAGAATCGGCCTTTTCTGGTTAATGTGAACATCATGGTGTGATTTATAATGATAACAAGAGGAACGCGTTCTTTACTCTATATTGATGGAAACATTACAACATATCTAGTACATATAACCAAGGCTACGCCATCCAAAGTATTTTTGCGCATAACCTGCTTCGAAATTTACAAAAAGTGCATATTTCAATCCGAATTTGTTAATAAACTAGTGCTCGGAAATTAAAGCTGAATCATTTGGCTAAATCACTGTAAAACTTCTATAGACCCAGATACGTTTGGCTCACTGTATATTTAATTATCGCCAAACACTTACTTTTTTCCAACAACTGAGTCTTCTTTCGGTTGCAAGTGAATGCGACATTGCATTTGAAAGATGCAGTGCCTCCAAAAGAACCAGATGCTTTTTCTTGAGATGCAGCATTACTGCAGAGGATATATTGATTTCTCCACTTATTCTTGTTGTAGCCAACAACCTCCTCGACATTATCACTTTTTTCGCAATTTCACTTTTTACTTCCATTTTAATTATTAATAGTTCGCGTTTTTTCCCGGTAAAAATTCGACATTCTTTATTTTGTTTTGACCAGTTTTGGCTGTCAAATGTCGATAAATTTCCGATAAATATTAGAGAAGGCACCGATTCGTTTGTCATTCGCAAGGTAATTCGATCTGAATTACCTACAAATGAGGTAATTCGCTCACAAAATTTTGTATGGCGAATTACATAATTCGGAAGGTAATTGGCAAGGCGAATGACGAATGGGAGAGCGAATTACGAATAAGAGAGCGAATTACGAAGCGTGGAAACATCGTATAACACAAGAAATAGTATTAGTGGATATTATTCATTGCAGAATATTCACACATATGCACTAACACTATTTTACGCTTGGCACACAAAGCGAGAGCATGTACAATGACTAAGGGCCGTTTGCACCATGTCTAGTTAACGCTAACTGGAGGTACATCCTTCAGTTAAGCACGTTAACTGCTTTATCGATCACATGTTATATGATGGGTGTCGATAACGTCGATAAAGATGTTTAACTGGGAGTTAGAATTAACTAGACATGGTGCAAACGGCCCTAAGTTCTCTGTTGATATGAATTGGTGTAGTGCTCAATTCTCTCATTGAGCCATTAAACAAATTAGTTATACCGAAATGAGTAGGAGCACTAAGAAGCACCAATAGTTCAGTGGAGTGATTTTAGTGAATTTAGTGATTTTCGTCATTTATAGCAACAAAACATGTACAAACGACGAGAAAGCGACAGCATATGAAAGCACACTAACACACTCTCACTTTTAGCTCACACTTGTTTATGGTGGCGCCCGCATGTCGCACAGTGTTGGGAAATGAAATTGATCCTTCAGTACGAAATCTATACAAAAATTGTACTTTTCGACTGTACATTGCATCGACTTTTTAATTTGCTCATATATTTTCTTAGTACATGCATACATAGATTCACTTCAAGATCAATGATTTGATGGTATTCATGGGAAAGTTTATGTAGGTACATTTTACACTTTGAACGTAAATGTGTATGCACATACTTTAAGGTACACTACTTAACAAACAAATTTTCAATCAAGTCAATGATCTTCAGTAGTTACTGATTTATTTCGAATTTCGCCCATTTTCAATAGGGCAACCTATGTACCAAATTTCGTTGAGATATCTCAGTTTGTGCTCTAGTTATCGTGTACACGGACAGACGGACAGACGGACGGACAGACAGACATGGCTTAGTCGACTTCTCTTTGTGCACAAGTGCGCTCGGGTATAACAATTCTCCCTTTACATGAAGTTTTTATATAAAAAAAAATCATACTCCACACACCACGAAAATAAAAGTAAGATTACCTAGTATTTTTCAAAAGCACTGCAACAAATTTTTCGTTGGGGAGGAGGGGCCTCGCTCATATTTAGTACCGGGCCGGATTTTCTCTCTACGTTTGTATTACTTTCAATTATTTTATTACTTTGTACTTACGTCGAATCTTATAAAACCTTAAACAAACTGAGTTTTTAAAAATATTTACCACCCCTATTCTGCAACTCTTTCGTATTCGGATTTTGCTACGAATCGTAGAAATAGTATGCTGCAATCCGAATCGTATTTTCGAACTTTCGAAATTCGTAACAATGGCATGCCTAAAAACGAACGAGTAAGCTTTTTTACGTAATTTTGTACGAAAACAATTCTGTGTCGGAGGCGAAATAAAAGATGTAAATCAATGTCTATTTGCAAGAAATATTGGTGGTGTTCATTTAAACAGATAAATTTGCCTTTCGCATATACATATATTTTTATACACTGCTTCACCTAAACGA